AGCACCTCTTTGTGAATAAAGAATAGTGTGAAACACAATGTATAAGAACTTTTTAAGCAAAGCAAAGTTGTTGTTGTTGTTGTTAGGTGCCATTGAGTTGCCTGTGACTCATAGCAACCCTATGTACAACAGCCCTAAACCCTGCTCTATCCTGTACCAAGTTTATTGTCTCCGACACTCCTACTCCCAATTACCCGAATCATTGAATCAATCCATCTCATCCAGGGTCTTCCTCTCTTGTGCTGTCCCCCACCCTCCCAATCATAACATCCCTCTTCAAGGATAGATCCCTCCTTGCAACATGTCCAAAGTATGTCAGACAAAGCTTCAGAATCCTTTCCTCCAAGGGACAGCCTGGTCTCACCCTCTCTAGGATGACCACAAAACAAAATCTCCCTTTAAAGTCTATAATGGTAATTCTCCTACTTAAACAAAAGAATTATAATGGGAAAATATTTTTTTCTTTTCTAGTTTTGTTTGGAATATATAATTAAAAAGAATGTGAATGGAAGTTCTCAAATGGAAATTCTGGATTTTTTTTTTTAATGAAAGACATTTGACAGATAAAGAAGTAAACTTTGGACACCACCAAAGGTAGCTGTGGCACTGTTAGTTGTTGTTGTTGTTAGGTGCCATCAAGTTGAGTACGACTCATAGCGACTTTATGAACAAAAGATCTGCACTCTGTTCTATTCTGTGTCATCATGACCCTTCCTGACACACAAGAGTCCACTGCATCAGTCTTCGTATCAGTTCACCGAGTTGAGGGTCTTCCTCTCATTCACTGACTCTCCACCCTTCCCAGCATCATTTTCTTCTCCAAGTAATAGCTCCTCCTAGCTACTTGCCCAAAGTATGTGAGGTGAAGCCTCATCGTTCTTGCCTCTAAAGAGCAATCTGGCTGCACCCTCTCCAAGACATATCTGTTCTCTTGGCCGTCCGTGGGATGTTCAGTGCTCTTCTCCAACGCCATGGCTTAAAGACGTTATTTCTTTTTCTGTCATCCCTATTCATTGTCCAGTTCTCAAATGCATAGCAAGTAATTGGAAAGATGGTGGCCTGAATTAGTACAAGGATATTTCTTAGCGTGATGGAGCACAGCATCAAAACTTCCCTGAAGTTAACATTTTTGGTGCCACCCAGGAATAGTGTTAACCTAGAGGTAAAAATGCACATCATGCTTATAAATTATGAGACAGAGGTGGTCAGAGTGGATAAAACTGTGTGCTGTCCACACTAAACCCATATTAAATAGAATAACTGGTAATAAGTTAAAAATAATAAGATGGAAGATGATAAAATATAAGAGGATAACCAAAAGTGGCTTTATTATTTCAAAAGAAAACTTTAAAACAAAGGATTTTTACTATTTATGGCTCTAGTCAAAACAATAAACATTTTAATCAAGATTAAGTTTAATTTGGTTTTTTTAGTTTTGTTTTAAAGCTTCAGTAGAGTGAGTGCTGTCGAGTACGGACTCTCCTTGAAATGTAGTTTGTTGTGAATTGTTATCAAGTCACTTCCGACTTGTGGGATTCATATTATGTTTAATTATCTATTCCAAACTAGATAATAACATAGTGTTTTTGCTATTAGTAATTCTTTTGCCTAAGTAGGCATATTATCATTACAGACTTCAGAGGGAGATTTTGTTTTTAGGGTTGTCCTGGAGAGGGTGAGATCAGGCTGCTCCTTGGAGGCAATGATACTGAAGCTTTGTCTGACATACTTTGGACATGCTGCAAGGAGGGACCAGTCCTTGGAGAGGGACGTCATGCTTGGGAGGGTAGAGGGACAGAGCAGGAGAGGAAGACCCTCTATAAGGTGGATTGACTCAATGACTGGGGTAATCGGGATAGGTGTGTCAGAGACAGATAAACTTGGCACAGGATAGAACACGGTTTAGGGATGTTGTACACAGGGTCACTATAAGTTGCAAATTACTGGACAGCACATAACAACAACAGCAACATTGGTTTGCTTATAAAGTTTGTATACATTGAGGTTCACACTATTCTTCATTCACGAAGAGTTGCTAACTCTTTAATGACAGTACATATTTCACATAGTGATGAAAGTTCACCTCAACAGAGATGCATGCCACTCCCAAATGTAGATGCACCTAACAACGAAACTTCCAAGTATCTAAAGCAAAAACTCCTAGAACTGAAAGGCTAGCTAGAAAACCTCTTTGAATTAGAGATTTCAGCACTCTACCATTAATAATTGGCAAAACAAGTACACATCGAATTGGTGAGGACGTAAAACACATCAAATGCTCACCGTGACTCAGCTTGATCAAATGGATGCTTTTGCAAACAGTTCACCTAATAGCAGAATACAGTCTTTTCAAGGGTAAAGGGGACATTCACTCAGGCTGAATTCTGAGCCATAAAATGAATCTTAATGCATTTAAAAGAATTGATGTCATGCAAAGTATGCTGCCTGACCGCAGAACAATTAAAGAAGAAATCAATAATATTTGGAAACTATTACCTAGGAAGTTCTTCTGAGCCTCCATCTTTGAAGGCATTTATTGGCCTCATCATGCAGTAATGATGGGTTACGTCATCTCTCCTGAGGCTTAGCCAGCATCAGGCTCCCAGGTGGTCCCTCTCGGTCTGGTCAGCCTCCACTCGGTGGTCTCAGGTGTGGTATAAACGTCAGGAACCAGGACTGGCAGCCAAACTGTTTACTCTAAGAGCATTCCATACCTAATCGTAATCATTCTTAGCTAAAATATTTTCCTTTTAAAGCTTAGTCTTCATTAAGTGGTAAAATTTTAACAAGCAGAACCCAACTAAGCATAATCATCGTTAAATAAACCAGAAACCATAAAAGATGATTCCCAGCTAAAGAAGAAGCTAACAATGGTATTGTGAATCTACTTAGGACACAATTCTGCTTGCCATCTGAGAGTATTTAGTGCCCAGGGAAGTGGCTAGCATGAAGTGTTGAATGATTTATACTGGGGAGAACTGGTGTTCATGCCAGAAGTCCAGCCTCTGACAACAGAGCTGCCTAAGTGATAGCCAAGCATGAGATTTTGCCCCATCTACACCAGAAGTTTGGAAATTCCCTTTTTCCTTATGTTTTCTGTACCTTGCTATACCATCCCACTGACTAACCAGTAACTAGTAGTTGCTGCGTGTTCACTGACCTCCGCTGCTGAATGAGGGCAACTTCCATGTTGAGTGTCACATAGCTTGGCCTAAGTAGTTTTTGCAGTCTTTTGTGGTTAGGTACTGTCCAGTAGACTGTGACTCATGGGGACTCTCAGAACAGTAGATCCATACCTTGTTTTATCCTGTGCCATCTTCATTATCTTTGACATTCTTGAGTAAAAAATACTCAAGCTACACTGTGGCTACACTGTGTCAACTGATCTTACGTGGGTCTTCCTGTCTTTCTCCGACTCTCCACTGTCCCCAGCATGATACCTTTTTCTGAAGCCTAGGCCCTCTTGAAAACTTATACAAAATGTTTGAGGCCAAGTTTCACTATGCTTACCTCCTCCAAGACAGACTTGTTTGTTATTTGGCAGTTTGTGGGATATTCAGTATTCTTCTCCAGCACCACAATTCAAAGACGTGGATTTTTCGTCTGTCACCTTTACTTATTGTCCAACTTTGAGATGCATATTTCAAAGCAGTTGAAAATATCATTACTTGCATCAGGCGCACCTTAGTCTTTGAAGTGATATTTTTGCTCTTTAGGACTTTGAGGTCCTTGACAGTACATTTTCCCAGTGCACACACCTTTTAATTTCTTGACCGCTGCTACTATGAGTGTTGATTGTAGATCTAAGTAAAATGAAATTGTTGATAACCTCAGTTTTTTCCTCCAACTATCATAATGTCTTTTGTTCTAGGGGTGAGGATTTTTTTATTTCTTGATGTTGAGATGTAACCTATATTGAAGGGTATGGTCTTTCAAGTCTTCCTCACTTTCTGCAAACAAGGTTGTGCCATCAGCATAATGCAAGTTGTTGATGAGTCTTCTTCCAATTCTGATGCCGTATTCCTTTTCATATAGTCCTGCTTTTCAAATTCTTTGCTCAGCATACAGATTTAACAGCTATAGAAAAGGCATACAACCTTACTGCACACTTTCCCTGATTTTATACCATTCCATGTCCCCCTTGTTCTGTTCAGACAGTTGCTTCTTGATCTTTGTATAAACTTTGCACTCATGGATTCTGAGTGAGTGAGTGTGTGTGTGTGTGTGTGTGTTGCAGTATGTGTAGTAAAATGTGACTGACTGAGTAATAGCAAAAAAGAAGTTGGCCTGCATCTCACAGCAGAGAATACCAGGCTAGGGCTTCTCACATCTGTCTTGGTGGTGTCAGGACATGACCTTCAATGTAAGTGAGAACCAAGGCCCCAATCAGAGCGAATAATATTTTCCTGCTGCAAATGTCATTACAGAGGAAACAAGTTGTCAGCTTAGAGACACTGTACTTACTGCCCTAGGGTCTTTCATGCTGCTCGGGGTAGTCCTGTGCTCACAGATGACCCTTAGAACCCAGCGAAATAGAGGCCTCACTAGTTTTCTGAGTCCAAACACACAAAGCATGTTGGTTACCTGTAAGATGCAAGAGAATGCTGAGTGAGGTGGAAGCTCTGTGTGTGTGTGTGTGTGTGTGTGTGTGTAACTTTGTTTTGCCTATGCTAATTTTCTGGAATTAGTTTGTCATCAAGTGGAAATTGTAAACATCTGCTAATAGAAATCTGGAGAGAGCGAGCGTTGGGCTGAGTGAGGATGCCTATCTGGATCTCACTCCACAGTTCAAGCATCCCCCTTTTCTCTTGCCTATTGCAGCCCGATCAGCATGGGATGCATTCTTGATAAAGTCTCAGAGGACGTCCATATACTACACAAAATGAGGATATTTTAGTCACCTTTTTAGGGAAAGTTCTACCACCATTTGTATGGTCTCATGTTTTTGTCATCCATTGATTCCATGTAATTAATTTTATATGTTATATTCTTTGTTTCAGAAAAACTGTACAACTCCAGTGGACGAGATTTAAGAAGGGCTCTTTTCTCTCTGAAGCAAATATTCCAGGTAAAAAGGGGGGGGGGTAAGAGTACTCTTAAACTCTGTTTTTGAATTAAGAGATGAGATACAGACAAATTCATTAAACCTTTCACTCATTACGAAGCGGAAAATCTCTTTAGAGTACCACGTACATTAGATCAGAATATAAATCGCATATTTATATTACAGCAAACATTTCAAAGGAAATGAAAAAGTAAAGGTAGCTTTATCAACTTGTCGTGTTTCCTGCATTTATTTCAGATTCCTAAAAAAGAAGAGCGTTTTCATGGATATAATTGATGTACTGTGTTCTGTTTGGCAGAACCATTCTATTCCCCCACCCCACCCTGACTTCACCTACCATTCCACCCTGTTCCTCTCTATAGAATGATGAATTTCATGCTTATCACACACAGGCTTCTGTATGAATGGCAAATAGTTGCTAACAATATGTGATACTGTTTTGCATCAACTTTATATGTGTTTTTTATGTTGTGTATATCATACTGCACTTTACTTAATGAGAGTGGTCTAGCCTTGACCCAAGTAGCTCCGATCAGGCATTGCATTGTGCGAGTAAACAACCAGTTGCTTTATTCATTCTCTCATTGGCAGACGCTTTGGCTGAGTTCCAGTGTTTTGCCATCATAAACCGTGCTGCCAGGGACAAGTGCCCCTGAACACCGTGTCTGCATGCTTGTGGAAGTCTCTCGTTCAGATTTCTGTCTTAGCTCTCTCTCTCTCCTGAACCTTCTCTCCTTCCCAAATCCTGAGGAAGTCATGAGCATTGTGACAGGTTTGTAGCCAAACTCAAAGACTGTCACCATGTGAGGCGACAGAGGAGAACCATCAGGAGATGAATTCAAGGAGGAGATGATGTTTGTATTGAGACTCTGTCTGACTAGGCTCATTGTTCATCTCTGTTGTGATTTTGGACTCTACACCATATTAATTTTCTCCTCAGTTCCAGCCTATCTACATCCTTAAATGATATATTTTGTTGATAGTAGTTGGAGCCAGAGTAGCATCCCACTTCCTGGGTATCTGCCTGTCTGAGGGGCAGTAGGTGAAAAAGACTAAAAATGATCCCAGGTCTAGGTTTTTGTTCTTTCCTTAAACTTCACAGTCCTCCTTGTATCTTTTCCTAGAGCAGATTCTCCCCATTTGTGTCCCCATTATAGAGCAGATTCCTTTCTTCCTCTTTTCAGGACTCCAGGCATGAATCTTGACTGAACCCTTGTGCTGAACCTCTCCGAAATGCCTTGGAGCTTAAAGCTTCCCCTTAGTTCAGGCCTTCTCTCCTTTTACCTGGAAAGATGCGACAGCTGTCTAGAGGCACTGCCTGCAGTTGGTTCTCCCCTTCCCAGCCCACTCTTCAGCTTTCCACTAGAGGGGTTTGGGGAAGTCATCTGCTTGCTGGTTCCATGTTGTCTTTTGAGTGACATCTGTATTTTTTTGGTTCAGCATTGAAGCATTCCTTGATAGGACCTCTGCTCACTTCTGTTTCCTCGGCAGCATCCTGAGCTCCACCTGCAGTGGATGTCAGGCCTCCTTTTCTGCTCTGTTGGCTCTGACTCTATATTGCCTCTTCCCAGAATGCTTTGCCGCTCCACATTCACTCTCCGTGTCTCCTACTTTTCATCTTGGTATCTACTCCTGCTACCAGGAATCCTTTCCTTAAATGACTCTCTCATCCCAGTCAGGGCATCCAAATGTCTTTTAAGTATGCTGTAATTGAAGTTAATATTGCTGGGCCCTTTAAGAGTCCTCTATTTTTTAGTCTGTGAGCTCTCTGAATTTTTATTGCTGAGTCTTTGGGACCCAGTTTAGTGCCTGATGATACTAGGTGATGAATGATGGGACTGGATGTTTTGAATAGTCTTCTAGCAGATGCCAGAACATTCCTTCTTTCCTCTAGTCTAGTAAATACTGTTCTGACTAGTCAATTGTTCCAGAGTTCTACTTCCAGTGTCTGCGTTTCCCTTTTACTTAACTTATAGTCAATGGGTAAGTTGAATTTCTTTACTTGGACTTCTGCTTTGGTTCTATGAAAAGGAAAATAAAATAGCTTGGGATATTTTCCCTTTAACTTCCAAGTAGTTGTTAGTTACCCTTGTTATAGGTCAGAAGCAAACAGGCTCTGCTGGCAGAAAAATGTCAGTTATGCAATGTTGGAGCTACATATGAAAGGACTGGTCAATTTAGCCAAGGAACGAGATTGGTCAGCTGCTATGCAAATGAAGTACATAAAATTCACCCAATAGGAATAAGCAACTTAGCTCTATGAGGAGCTGACTCTATAGAGTTAGTTGAAAAGCAGAATGAGAAGAGAAGAAACTTAAAGAGTGCTGAGTGATTGTGGGCAGAAGGTTCTCAGCAGTGCTGAAAAAATCTGCTGTTCAACACTGAAGAGAATAGCCTTCTAGTCCTGCCTGTATTCTTCCCCAGACTGATTCCTCACAGGATAGGACACGGTTTCAGAGACGTTGTTCATAGGGTCTCTGTGAGTTGTACTTGACTCAGTGACACCTAACAACAACAACAACAACAACAACATCGAACATAGAGAAAAAGAATAAGTGGCAAGGGAGAGTGGTCGATCTCAGATAGAGTTGCACAGCACCTTGGAGAAGTTGGAAATCTTGGGATGTATTTACATTCTGATTCATAGGAATCAGCATTGTACTGATGCTTATAAATGGAAGAATTCACATCATCACCATAGTGGTGGTGGAGTGTTAATGTTGCTTTTTCTGAGACTGGTGTATGTGCCTGCTATTTTAATTCTGCCATCTTTTAAGATTCTTCAGAATTAAAATTCTTGATGTGTAGTGGGGGGAAAGAAGAAAAGTAGAGCAGATCAAGCTGTGAACTTTATACTTCTAATTGTAAATACAGGAATGAAACTATGTTGGCACATTTTATCTTACCCTGAAACAGACCAACATATTTCCAGATCTGTGAAAGGACTAAGATTGATGATCATTGCATTAGCACAAAGCCCTCACTAGCACTGATAGTATTATCTTAATGTGCAGAAAGAAACAGGACTCGTTGGAGAAATGGCTGATTCTAGGTCTGGAAACTGGATTATGTTCAACAAAGAGCAAGGAAGCTATCGCTATTAATAAGGATGATCAAGGCCAGTCGAACACAGCAAATTGAAGGGTCTCATGATCATTGGCTGAAGATGAGACTAAACACAATACATATATATATATATATATAAATTGCAATAGATTGAAACACATCAGTAAGTCTGAGCTGATGGGCTTATAATTATTAAGATAATAGTGGCTTGGTAGCTATTGGAAATATATTAGTGAGAATCACTAATTTTGAAAATTGGTAAGTAATGGACTCTCACCTTTTTTCTTATCTTTCCACCTGCCGACTTTTGTGTTATAGTTATTAGGTGTCAGTAAGTTGATTTTCACTTAAAGTGACCCTTTGCATAACAGGATAAAACACTGCTCAGCCCTGTGCTGTCATTACGGTTGCTGTTAGGCTTGAAGTCATTGTTGGAGCCACTGTTTCATTTCATTTCATTGAGGGTCTTTCTCCTTTACCAAAGATCACTTTCTTTTCCAGGAACTAAGGAGAACTGATGCCTTTGAGCTGTGGTGCTGGAGAAGAGTATTGAGAATACCATGGACTGCTAGGAAAACAGATTTGTCCTGGAAAGGGTTAAACCGGGTGGCTCCTTGGAGGCAAGGATTCCGTCTAACATACTTTGGACATGTTGTGAGGAGAGACCGGTCCTTGGAGAAGGACATCATGCTTGGGAGGGTGGAGGGATGGCGCAGGAGGGGAAGGCCCTCTATGAGGTGGATTGATTCAGTGACTGGGATAATTGGGATGGGAGTGTCAGAGACAGTGCGATTGGCACAGGACAGAGCGGAGTTTAGGGCTGTTGTACATAGGGTCACTATGAGTTGCAAGCGACTCGACGGCACATAACAACAACAACAACAACACCCTTATTGAAAACATGACAAAATCTCACCCTTCTAGTCTCCAAGGAGTATTCTAGCTACACTTTTTCCTGGAAAGATTTGTTGTTTGTTCTCGTGGCAGCCCATGATATAGCCTTTATTCTTCACCAACACCGTCATTCCAAGGTATCAGTTCTTCTTCAGCTTTTCTTATTCATTCTCCAACATTCACATGATGGTGAGGTTAATGATAAATACCATGGTTTGAGTCAGGCACATCTTAGTTTTCAAAGTGACATCCTTCCTCATTAGCCTTCTAAGGAAGTCCTTTGTAGCAGATGTGCCCACTTAAATACTTTGGTTGGTTTCTTGACTGTTATTTCCATGGAAATTGATTGTACATGCAAGTAAAATGAAATTCTTGACATTTTCAACCTTTCTTGATGCTACTTACTGGTTCAGTTGTGAGGTTTTTTTTGGGATTTTTTTTAGGTTGAGGTACAAACGATACTGAAGACTTTGAGCTCCATTAGTGAGTACATCAGGCCATCTTCACTTTCAGCAAGAAAAGTTGTGTGTCATCCGCATATTGCAGGATGTTCCTAGGTCTCCTGCCAATCCTGATGCCACCTTCTTCACATGGTGTGAATACAACTGGGTGAATTTTACACACTTCATATTTCATACTATTTGGATTATTTGTTCAATATCTAGAAAGACTACGATCCTGGTGCACACCTTTCCTGATTTTAAACCATACACTAGTATCCCCCTGTTCTTTGCACTATTCAAACAGCTGTGTCTTGATCTATGTGAAGGGTCTATGTGAGCACAGTAAGTTTTTAGAATTCCTACTACTCACAATGTTATCCATACTTTGTTATGGTCTCAAAGTCAAATGTCTTTGCATTATCAATAAAATACAGACAAATGTCTTTCTGGCAGTTTATCAGCTTTCAGTCAAGACTTGTCCCATGCCGGCAGTCTTATCCCTTACTCTACATCTTCTGAATCCCCGTTGAGCTTCTGGGAGTTTTCTGTTGATGTACTGCTCTAGCCATTTTAATAATGATCTCCCACAAGACTTTACTT